TTTGCAAAGTCTGTATATATTACATCTGCATTCTTTTTGTCTTCTAGTGCATCTAGGACCTTGTCGTAGTGATCCAATAGTTGAGACAGACAGGAGCGACCTGTTCTAAACCCATGTTGCCCTGGGTTGTGAAAACTGAGGGGTTTTCTAGTGGGTGGTGATCTTGCTTTTTAAAGGACCCTTTCAAAGATTTTTATGATATGGGATGTTAGTGCTATCGGTCTGTAGTTCTTTGCTGTTGCTTTACTGCCCCTTTGTGGAGTGGGGCTATGTCTGTTGTTTTTAGTAACTGTGGGACGACCCCCGTGTCCATGCTCCCTTTCCATAGGATGGTAAGGCTCGTGATAGGGGCTTCTGCAGTTCTTGATGAAACGGAGTTCCATGAGTCTGGCCCTGGGGCAGAGTGCATGGGCATGTTCATTTTATCGCCTGTTCGAAGTCATTTGGCGTCAGGATAACATCGGATAGGCTTGTGTTAACCAAATTCTGTCTCTCTCTAAAAAAATTCATTTTGAAACTTCGACTCTCAGTCTGGTTAGCGGCTTGCTAAAAACTGAGTCATATTGGGACTTGAGTAGCTCACTCCCTTTCCTTGCTGTCATTTTGTGTAGGACCCATCTTGTTTAAAGTAGGGGCCCAATACTGGACGTTGTTCTCGACTTTGATTTTGGGATAGGAGAAGAAATACTTTGGGTTTTTTTTTGATTTCATTTATGGCTTTTAGTTCTTCCCACGATTCCTGACTCCTATAAGATTCCTTTAGCTTAAGTTCGAGCTTTTATTTCTCTGACCAGTGTCTCCCTACGCATTTCAGATATATTGACCTCTTTTAGCCCTGTTATTCTTTTCCGTCGCCTGTAAAGGGAGCGCGTGTCTCTTTCTATTTTACATCTACTCCTCCTTTTTCTTAGAGGAATAAACCTTGTGCATACATCGAGTGCCACCAAGTTAATCTGTTCTAGGCATAAGTTGGGGTCTGTGTTGCTTAGTATATCTTCCCAGCTTATATCGGTTAGGACTTGGTTTACTTGGTCCCACTTTATGTTTTTGTTATTGAAGTTGAATTTGGTGAATGCTCCCTCGTGATTAATCTCATTATGTCGGTCTCGGGCACTGCGCATACATGTCTGAACCTCAATAATGTTGTGATCTGAGTATATTGTTTTTGATATGGTGACATTTCTTATCAGATCATCATTGTTAGTGAAGATGAGGTCTAGTGTATTCTCCAGTCTAGTAGGCTCTATTATTTGCTGGTTTAAACTGAATTTTGTGCAGAGATTTAAAAGCTCGTGTGAGTGTGAGTTTTCATCAGAGCTGCCTCCTGGTCAGAAGTATGTTCAGGTGCCAGTACTGACCGAATTTGTTCCCATAAGGAATATTGTGAAGTAGATTAGTCCATTTCAGACCCCCAAACATACATGTACAAACGCACTTACATAAATACACTTACATAATTGGTCGCATTCGGAGGTGATCGTTATGCGGGGGTCCACTGTACTAAATAAGCTACCATGGCTCCAAAGAAAGCTCCTAGTGCCAAGCCTGTGGTAAAGAAGGTGAGAAATACGATTGAATTTAAGAAAAACATCATTGAACAATATGAAAGTGGCACAAGTGCGGCCGAACTGGCCAGGATGTATAAGAAACCCTACACAACCATATGTTCCATAGTGGCCAAGAAAAAGGAAATAAGGATGCTGTTGTTGCAAAGGGGGTAACTATGCTGACAAAAATGAGATCCCCAGTACTCAAAGAGGTTGAGAAGTTATTATTGGTGTGGATAAATGAGAAACAATTAGCAGGAGATACTCTCATGACTTCGATTACTTGTGAAAAGGCTAGGCAGTTGCACAACGATCTGGTAAAGAAATTGCCTGAAAATAGTGGTGATGTGAGTGAATTTAAGGCCACCAAAGGTTGGTTTGAGAGATTTAAGAACTGTACTGGCATACACAGTGTGGTAAGGCATGGTGAGGCTGCCAGTTTGGACCACAAGGCGGCTGAAAAATATGTGCATGAATTCAAGAAGTACAGTGGACCCCTGGTTAACGAACTTTTTTCATTCCAGTAGTATGTTCAGGTGCCAGTACTGACCGAATTTTTTCCCATAAGGAATATTGTGAAGTAGATTAGTCCATTTCAGACCCCCAAACATACACGTACAAACGCACTTACATAAATACACTTACATAATTGGTCGCATTTGGAGGTGATCGTTAAGCGGGGGTCCACTGTACATAGAGGCTGAAGGACTGAAACCTGAAAAAGTGTTCAATTGTAACGAAACAGGCCTCTTTTGGAAGAAAATGCCAAAGAGGACCTTCATTACACAGGACGAAAAGGCAATGCCAGGACCCAAGCCTATGAAAGACAGGCTGACGCTCATGTTCTGTGCTAATGCTAGTGGGGATTTCAAAGTGAAGCCATTACTAGTGTACCATTCTGAAAATCCCAGAGTGTTCAGGAAAAACAATGTTATGAAGAGTAAATTGTGTGTGTTTTGGAAATCTAATAGTAAGGCATGGGGCACGAGGGAAATTTTCGTCAAGTGGTTCAATGAAGTGTTTGGCCCTAGTGTGAAGAATTACCTCCTGGAAAAGAAATTGGATCTCAAGTGCCTGCTAGTAATGGACAATGCATCTGCTCATCCTCCAAACTTGGATGACCTAATTCTCGAGGAGTTTGGGCTCATCACAGTAAAGTTCTTGCCCCCGAATACCACTCCTCTCCTCCAGCCCATGGACCAGCAGGTCATTGCAAACTTTAAAAAACTCTACACCAAAGCAATGTTTCACAGGTGCTTGAGTGTGACCACAGACACTCACTTGACCCTAAGGGAATTTTGGAGAGAACACTTCAGCATCCTCCATTGCATAACCCTTATAGGTATGGCTTGGGAGGGAGTGACTACCAGGACTTTGAACTCTGCTTGGAGAAAATTGTGGCCAGATTGTGTCAACAAGAGGGATGTTGAAGGGTTTGGGACTGACCCTGATGAGCCTATGTCTGTTGTTAAATCAATTGTGGCACTGGGGAGTTCCATGGGGTTGGATGTGAGTTTGGAGGATGTGGAAGAATTGGTGGAAGACCACAACAAAGAGCTCACCACTGAGGAGCTCCAAGAGCTTCAGCAGGAACAGCAACAGATCGCAGCTCAGAATCTTGCTGCAGAGGAGGAGGAAGAGAGATGGAAGAAGGTGCCTTCTTCAGAAATTAGAGAGATTTTTACTATGTGGGGTAAGATGGAAAGCTTTATGGAGAAACATCACCCTGACAAGGTTGTTGCAAGCCATGTTGGCAACATGTACAGTGACAAAGTCTTGGGCCATTTTAGGGAAGTGTTAAAGAGAAGCCAGAAACAGAGCTCTCTCCACAGTTATTTTGCGAGACAGGACTCCAGTGACTCTCAAGGTGGTCCTAGTGGCATTAAGAAACAGAGAAGAGAAGCAACCCCAGAAAAGCAAATGGTACCTGAGGTGTTGATGGAAGGGGATTCCCCTTCCAAACTATAAACAATCCACTCTCTCTCCTCCTCCAGTCTCCCAGACACTAAGAAGAATCTCCAATAAAGGTAAGTGTTATGCTGTTGATGTTTCATTCATTTCCCATTGTATTGTTTATGTACTACATGTATATTTCATGTAAAAAATTTTTTGGTTTTAATACTTCTGGGTGTCAGGAACGGATTAATTGTATTTACATTATTTATGGGAAAATTTATTCGAAAATCATAGATTTCATTAATAGTAGCAACTCCAGGAACGGATTAACTATGAAAAACGAGGGACCACTGTATTTTCATCATCATTCAACACTTTCACCACACTCATACATAATCACTGTTTTTGCAGAGGTGCCCAGAACACAACAGTTTAGAAGCATATACGTATAAAGATACACAACATATCCCTCCAAACTGCCAATATCCCAAACCCCGCCTTTAAAGTGCAGGCATTGTACTTCCCATTTCCAGTACTCAAGTCCGGCTATATAAAAATAACCGGTATACATTATATGTACTGTTTATGTATTTTACTTTTTTATGCTAGCTATATGAGTACTTATTATATGATAGTGTAAATAGATTTTCAGGCATTTTAGATGCATCCAACAATGAAAATATCTCTCTTTTCCACCCGCTGATGATTTTCACTTATCGCATGGGCTTAGGAGCCTAAGAGCCATACAAACAGGGCCCCTTCAGTACTTCCTGTAGTTAATGTATACAATACAGTATGGAGTACAATCTCAAAAAAAACATTGGTTATAATTAGGTTGCAATCTCCTCTATAAAAACAGTTCATTTATGTAGTAAATACAAAATGTGAATACAACTTTCAGAAGATTTTTCAGGATATTTTGCCATATCCTGTAGTTATACAACACTTACACTAATACAGTATATAATGCTCCCCTTTAAAGCTCTACAGTATTATTTCTCAAAAATGGAAGAAACTAATGCCTCGCTTACATGCTCAACAGCTAGAACATTGTGCAGAGGTTTGATGTTTTTCAAACGTTGTACTTCTGGTACATATTAAAACAAATATTTATAATGACTAGTATTGAATCAGCTTCTGAATGTCTTACCCTAGTTTGAACATGGAACATCAATGAGAACAAAGATTCACAAAAAGGCTAACAAAATGATAAAAGAAAAGATTCACAAATTTATTTACTGTATATATATTTTGCACACAAGTTTTATGGGATAACACATTTAATGACTAGAAACCATGTACAATGAATATACAACATATAAAAAAAAGGTAAATTTAAGGAGACAGTTTTACTAATAAATGAAGTTAGGGAAGCGAATAGAAAGGGCATATTAAAATACGGTACAATACCTTAATGTGAGTCTTGCAATTCAGTTGGTTGCACTCAAACAAGAGATAATGATAAAGTGTGTGCTGCTCTTCCTTTACATATTTTTTTGACTACTGTCATGTACAGGGATGACCTGCACTTGCACACACTGCACAACAAAGACCATGGTTTGCTACAGCCCGAGCTTGAACCTTGTACTGTATGACTTCATTTCTGCTGATCAGCTGGCCCAGGAAGGACTAGCCATAGACCAGAACACAGATTTCTTGGAAGGAGTCTTACAGAGTTGTTAAGGAAAAGCAGCACTTATACCTACTCAGTTTTTTGAAGACCAACAAACTGCAATCACAAGAGCTTTCATTACTCCTCTACCACCTCTTTACTTATTGCAATACTATCACATTTTCCATCATTCACTCAGTTAAGGAAGCCTGATCCTAATGATTTTCAAGTTTTAATATTCTCTTTTTCTTATCTTTGACAACAAGTGAATTAGTTAATTATGTAACTATTTCTTTAAATTTCCATGACCTGTAATTTAGCTGTATTGCACTGTGTTAGTGGGTCAGAGATGGAATGCCTAAACATCTTGCTTGAGAAATTTGTAAAGAATGCAAACCTAGTGCAAGGCAAGGTAGACCAGCACTGCAAACATAGTGTTAATTATTTGATTCCTTCTCCTTACTGGTAGTTTTTCTTCCAGTCTCTCACCATGCCAGATGCATTCCATCAAATAAAGTAACTGAGCTACAGTAAAGGAAAACAAACTGCATCCATGCTAACCAATGAACTCTCTACTATTGTATTGTGAATGAAGCAATTTGTGGAAACAAGATGGCAAGTGGACTCAAACCAGGACTCACTAAATGGTAATGCCATACCTTTACATCTCTGCTACGATAGTCCCCAATGTTGGCCCAAATGCTATTTTACACAGTGCCCCATCACACTCGGATTTAGAGTAAAGATTGTTTAGTTCATATATCCTTTATGCTTGTCAATGCAAATTGAGATTTTGCCGAAAATAGAATTTCATGCTATCAACAGCATGAAATTCCATTTTCAGCGACAGGTATGAAAGACTTACAGTAGTAACTAATCTCTATCTAAGCCCCAAAAGTGGCCAGTTAATATTATGAAAGATAGGATCAGGAGCAACATTAGGGCTTGCCATAACTAATAAATTAAATAAAAATAATTTTAATACTTGTGACACAGTTGACGAGTCATGGAGTTGTCACTTAGTGGACCCCATTTCCAGCACATGATACCTTACTTTACATAATACTTCACACTCCTTTTTACGGTACTATAAATACAATAAAACCTAATATATACTTATAAACAAAATTCTCCCCTCTATTAGGTGTTGAGATGTGTCTATAAATCATACTTTTATTCAGTTTTTAAAAGGATAAAAGCCTAAAAACACAAATCCTTATCAAAACACCACACTTTTAATGCTCATTATGGCCCCAACTGTTAACCTGAAATTTTATCACAGCACTTTAGTAGCATGAAGGTAACTATTCACTTGCTTTCACTGTCGAGGATACATATGAATGAACTGAAACTATTCACTTGCTTTCACTGTCGAGGATACATATGAATGAACTGAGTGTTGTACCTGATCCACTTTATTTTTAATGAGGAGGCAGCACACTATTATAGACCAAGAATTTTATAAATGAATGAAAAGTACAAAGAATATATTAAGCAAAATAATGATTTATTTTTCAGAAAATGAAACATTTCATGAAGAATGTGAGAATAGCTTTGTATGAAGCTGCTGCTCTTCATCACATGAAGCATCCTGCAAGAAATATGACATGCAACACAGCAATAAAAAAGTGCTATTTATAGCCTTATGTCTAAATTCCGACCACTCATTACAATATGTAAAACAAAGCAACTGGAAGGTGTGTAGGAGAGGTACAATACTGTACAACAAAGCGTATTGTAAGATGAATCTTTATTATACTCATGGGAAGCACTAAACCCATAAGTCATGGAGCACCTGGGGAAATGGGAGGTAAAAGGCTTGAGCCAAGGAAGGAAAAGCTAACTCCTCTCCCTTAATCAAGAACCCTTCTCCCCAGTATCAAGACACCCCATTGAAGACAGCTGAATCTTGAAAATATAATGTATATTCAAGCTTGACTTGTACTGTATATGGAGAATACACACCCTTTACATATTATCTTAGCACCAGTGGCAATACTTCATATCAAATATAAATTCCACGATTATCTTTTTGGCAGTGATGAAAAAACAAAGTACTCTACAGGGGAACTTTGCTGAACATTGGGAGTATGTTGCTGTTGATCTGTTTATTAGGTGGATTAAAGTACACTGAGCCCCCTTATTCCATTAACTCCAATATATCAATACTGGCTTAGGAAGAAAAATAATTAGTTCTAAAACTGATGTTTTAAGCTGCTACTTTATCCAATAGCCACTACACTGTTAAACAATAAATGTATGATACAGTGGCACATACTTAATGTATGTCAGTCTCCTCCATATACAAATAGAACCTTAAAGTCCTACAAATTCTGTTTTCCACCTGGTAATCAAGTGTTTATGCAACCTGTTACACTCATCACCAGTGGAAAATTATTACTATCACCATTCCCACTAGCCATCCTCAAGATCCCATTAACTGATCTGTCAATCACCTGACTCAAGGATAACTTGTGTACAAGGGGACACCGGAGGATAGTGGGGATCACTGAACCCATTGTAGTATAGAAAAATCAAAGGTAAGTAAGTATTTTATGTCTCATGGGGTTTGATGACCCCCTGCAGAATCATTCAAACAGGGCTCAAATCTAGTAATGAAAGTACATCTGGGCAGGGTACATCATCCACAGAGAGCGAGCACACCTACTAGAATGGAGAACACAATGAGACTGTTTCCTTGCATGTTATGTAAGTTTCATTATAAGTAAACCACAATGCCTCCAACTCCTTTACCATTTAGCAAAGAGAGCTGGACAACTGCCAAACAACAGACAGGTTTCATATTTGATGACCTGAGGACATCTAACCTATAACATGAAGCACTGGGTCAAACCAGAAACTTGTTTGCAAGCAGTTTTTAGTAGTGGTGCGATATGGCACATACCAGAAGAAATACTGTAGCTGCAAGATGAGTTTTTACCAGTTTAGGTTCAGAATATTCTGCAAGTCCTGGCATACGTTTAGATATCAAATTCTGTACGTGCTTCCATCCTTATGGCTGGAGGTAAACATTCTTGGTTTGAATGTTCCTTACATGAATGATCTACGACTTGTCAGCCAGTAAAAAAAACCATAACACTCCTTACACACACCCTCTCTTGATCAGGATACAAGGCTAATCTCAAGGCTCATTAGAGTACTACTGGTTGTGCCCTAGTCATTGAAACTGAGTCCCCCATGGTCACACAAAAAACCTCAGATTACAGGCTACTAACCCTTTCTCTGTGCCAGCCCTGTGGCTGGTAGGATTCCAGTAGTGGTTCATCAGTACCAATTCTTAGAATACTGTACTATACCAATTCCAAGAATACTGTACTAACTGTACCAATTCTAAGAATACTGTACTACTGTACCAATTCCAAGAAACTGTACTAATTCTTAGAATACTGTATGTACCAACTTTTGAAGAATAATTTTTTTCTGTGATTTGTTCTATATATCATAGAAGTTATCACCACCCCATATCAGCTGTCTTGTCTCTGGTATTGGTACAAATGATTATTCCAATCAAGGAACCATGTTTATATACAGTAGAAGAAAATAGGAATTTGTATGAAGGGAAAGGAAATGTAACTGAGCCAAGAAATGTTAGGGAGGTCCATATTTGGTATTTTAGGGGTAAAACTGATAGGATATGATTCCAGTGGTGGTTCACAGAACCAATTCCAGTTTTTATAATTATATCTTCAGTTCTTTATTTATCCTTATGGTGAAAGAATCAATTTCTTATTTCATGTATTATGAGTATAATTACCTATTTGTAGTTATAAGAATGGACATTGTCTTGTGGTACAAAAATTTCAGAAGTCACAAGCAAAGGCAGTACACTACTATAACATCCTTTGTCAACTTACAATGTAGCGTGTCTCAAAATTATATATTATGCATTTAATCCCTTCTAAATACAGTTATTCACTGTCATATGTATTTCTATAAAACTTTTGAATTTCTTGTTAGTACTTTCTCATGTAAGGTGGGTTGGATCAAGCACAATATGACTTGTTTCAGTTGGTACCAGAACTTTAAATACAGTGAAGGTAAACACATTCCTGTACACTGCTAGAATATATCATCGTTATACTTGGAACACATTGAACTGATTTTGTACTGAGTATAGAGAGAAAAGGTACTAGTATGCACATGTCCAATGGCATATGTCTTGAGGATGTAGAGGACCATAAATTAGCTACAGACTGATTCCTGAGTCAGGTGAAACGCTCCTGGCTTGTAACTTCGAATGAAGGGGAAATCTGATGGGAATCCTGTAGATAGCACTGCCTGTCGTGCAACAGGCTGACCTCCTGTACTCCAAAGAAATTGGCAGTTACAAAAATTAAACAATGGCATGAACTGTAATTTATAATTCATATAAATTAAAATATTGCTCCATTCCTAGTCTTTCTGTAGTCTCTCTGTAACTTAAAACTCATTTTCTACCTAGCAGCTCTCTTGCATTCAGGTGTCCTAACTTCCAAAGAGATTATTTGTAAAGAAACATCATATTTTGGTGTGCTTCCAAATTAACTCAGCATCAACTTACTCTCATTTTGTTATTAATTTTACAGAAATTTGCAAAATTAATTCAAGTTAATCTGCTGGTATTGAATATAATTTTTGCCTATGGCACACTATGGTATATATTTTAAAAGTTTCTAATGTTACTCTTTATCATTTGCACATTTTATCAATATTCAGTTATTATATGCAGAAACAAGTGCTAAACCTGAATGGGTCATATAGCACCAATTTTCAAGATTAATCGTGTAGAAAACATAAAGAAACTCACCTCTTTTACAATATCAATGTCCTCAAAGAAGCTTTTTTGCACATCACTATCATATGTAGAAGACTCCTTTAGAGATGGTTTGTTTATTGGAGTAGATATATAATTTATTCTTGTGAGTGCTGCCGTGCTAGAACCACACACTGATTGGCACTGAACTGCAGAAGAGCTTTGGTTAGTGTTGGCCATTTTATTGGCATTATAATGAAGGTTGGTATTTTCAGAATGACTAGTAAGTGAGGTGAAAGCCACAGAAGAACATGTAGGAAGCTTGATAACTTCCTGACAACCTTTATTTTGAACAGTTACTTCAGAAGAATTGTCTGCAGTGTCTGTCCTTCCTGTGGAGTGGGATAAATAACTGGCCATTTCAGAAAATAAGGTACTCGAATCAGTGCACTTGTCAGTAATGAGTGCCACTGGATCTGAAATTGCTAAGCCATGAACCTGAAGAAGCTCGGCAGTTTCAAGAAGTGACTTCACTTGGTCCTCAGCTACTGTTATTTCACCCCTGAAATATAACATGCATTCAGTCACTAATACTTGATTTATGTATTTGATGCAAAGAGAACTGGTCATTAGGGACCTGCATTAGGCAGGTGATTGTACATCTTTCTAAAATTCTTCCACATGCTCCTTCTTATTCAAATGTTATCATATATACAGGCCCACATCCCTTTATCTGAAATTCTGAAATTCGAAAAGTTCCAAAAACCAAAGTTTTTTCGTGGAGTGTGGAGCGTCAGTCATCTCTACATAACTCCAACGCCACCACGTGGCAGTGTGACCCAGCACCGACAGCCAGAGCAGCAGGCATCAGTTGTGTGTCAGTGCTTGTAGTGTTCACAAGTGCATCTGCTGTTCGCTGATATTTTGTTTTTGCTTTTTATGTGACTGTGTTTAATTTCACTGTGAAAATGTCAGAAAGAACTGCAGATACCCTTATGGATAACAGTGCAGTTGTTAATGCTTGGAAGGATGCTGGCAAATCAACATTAACAAATGCTTGGCACAGACTTTGGCCTAAAACAATGTTTGATGTAAATGAACCTACAGATGAAGACTTTGAAGGATTTTGTGTCACTGATGAGAAGAAGATATCAAACCTCATAACTTACGCTAAAAGTTTATCAGACGAAAGTGTAAATAAGTTACAGGAAGCTGACATCAGAGAAATACTGAACATTGACACTGATGCACCTGTTGTGCATTCCTTGAGTGATGGTGAAACTGATGAAATGGTGTTAAATACAAATAAGCATGAGAATAGTAGTGATGATGATGACATTGTGAAGACAAGTGAATAAGTCCCCATAGACAATATGGTAAAAATGTGTGATCAGCTAATTGCTGGCCTTGAACAACGTGCATTTATCAGTGAGTAAGAGATTATGGCAATTTACTCAGTTAAAGAGAGATTGCTTAGAGAGAAGCCCATGTTAATAAGAGAGATGACACTTGAAGAAGTCTTTAAAAATGCAGTCTGTCAATAGTCTTGAGAACCATGTTCCTGGTCTATAATTATCCCATTATTTCATATATCAATATATTACTCTATAAATAAACAGTAGTAGTATTTGTAGTCTTTATTTATCCCATTTAGTATGAGTATTCATAAGTTTTTGCTGCAGTGTTTATGTTTAATTATGGGGTGCTGCCTTAGACCCCACCTTCATTCTGAAATTCAAAAAATTCTGAAATTCGAAACACTACTGGCCCCAAGGGTTACGGATAAAAGAATGTGAAACTGTACTGTACAAAAGGAATGTAAAAAACACTTAGAATGAAAAATGAAACAAAGGAAGCTGAGATCTGTAAATTTTGACCTTAATAATGAGGGTTCCCTTATTGAAACTGAAATATAATTTTTTTTTTTTTAACAAGTCGACCATCTCCCACCGAGGCAGGGTGACCCAAAAAGAAAATCCCCAAAAGAAAATACTTTCATCATCATTCAATTCTTTCACCTCACTCATACATAATCAGTTTTAGCAGAGGTGCTCAGAACACAACAGCTTAGAAGCATATACCTATAAAGATACACAACATATCCCTCCAAACTGTCAATATAAATATCTCTTTTTATCTTTGTTTCATCTTTTTGATCAGTGTGATACTTTCATTGTAGCATACACACATATAATTCCTTCTCACCTCAGTGCTTCCACTCATTATTTACATGCTCTTCTTTGTAAATATGTTCACCTACTCATACTTCTCTACTTTTAACATACCTCCCACATACACACTCTCCAACCACTGCCTCACTGAGACCAGCAGTCTATCCCATCAACAGTCATATTTCTTTGGTTATGTGCTTCCTAAGCAAAATCTATTACAGTGGAACCTTGGTGTTTGTATGCCCTATTTTGTAGTTATTCTCTATAAAATGTATTTTTGCTAATATTTCCCATAAGAAATAATGTAAATCCAATTAATCCCACTCCAAACACCCAAAAACATTAACAAAAAATACATACACACAAACTAGGGCATATGAAAACCGTGGTTCCATTGTATATATTTAAAGCAGTAAACCTTGTCAGAAAGTATCTGAAACTGCTCTGAAACATTAAGATATGAAATAAAATCACATTTTGGCACATTTTTCACATGTTTACCACACCAAATACTTGCATGTTCACCGCACCCACACATACTGTAGTCGTTTAAATTTTTTAATATGAACAAGTAAATGTTTGTGGATTTCTAGTAAGGCAGCTACTGAATGATTGATGATCTGTGTTTTTTCTTTAGGTAACTCTACCTTAGTAGGAAATGGCTAATGAGGTAAAAAAAAAAAATTAATAAAAGAAATAACATACACCTTCAATAAATGCAGCATCAAGTAGCAGCAAGCTGCAATAAGGACTTACCTATACATGTAGTTAATTATATGTGAGAGGTGATCGAACTGGACGTGGTGGGGCATGATGATGACTGGATGAGGACATGGGTTGTTACACAACAGTTGTTGGAAGTATGGACTCATAGCTGACACTACTAACTGAAATGTTTAAAATACTATATTTTGAGAAGTTCCCTAATGCACACCTTAAGTCATGAAAACATTTTGCTTTACTTGCATGAAATATCCATGACTATCAAATTTACAGTAAGTCATATTAAGTCTTAAACATTATCTGGCAGTTTTATCTGATCTGGTACCTAAACAGATGATGTTAAAAGGGAATGTACAGCAAAAAAAGGGCCATTAAAAGATGTGACCATCCTGTATTGCTGAAAATCCAGCACACTCTTCCCCAAGTTGGTTGGATAACTGATGATCTATCATATTTTATATACAGTCAATCGAAAGAAAGGAAAGATGCCAGGAAATATATGGACTGTGTAAAAGATAGACTGTCATTAACAAAGCTGTTGTCCAATAATACTTTCTAGAATTCTTCAAGGAAATCAATGAATATGCAAGCCTCATTACTCAGTGGAGGTGCTTCAGAAATTGGAGACTTGCAGTTCTGTTTGCCAGTTCTATGAGTCCACTGAGAAATAAACAAATTAAGAAAATAAAAAATAATTGGACATCTATAGTTGTGGACCACCACCTAGCAAGTCAACATGGGATGGTTTCCTCAGTCCTTAAAGGTCTTCCTGAACAGGAGAGCGCTATGGTCTAAAAAATCTGCCTCTACTAGTGTAAAGATCCCATTCCTCTATGTACCCCAGCCTGAATAATCAATTATCCAAAACATTGTGTTCAAAGCATATATGACAAAATCATCTCGTATCACTTGGTCTAAAGGGATTAAGAACATGAATTCAACCTCTCACATTCAAGTGCCTGTATGTAATTAATTGGTAAGCAGCCATAGATGCCCTCCAGAATTATAGGCTGGGTTTCAGCAGCAGCAAAAGTCCCTTAACATGATCAAGTTAACATATTAGGAGGGAGGAGAGGAATCCTCCTCTTCAAAATAAATGTTAGGAGTTCATCTTTAAATAAATATTCTTTTGTAAATTACGTACAATAAAATTTCATGCTATTATTTTTTAATTCTATTTTTTTATTTTCATGAATAACTTACATGTTTAACCGGTGTACTTAGTTCATGTATAATAGTGTATTATTCTATCATCTGACCTTGTGAGCCCTGATGGTACGTCCCTCCGCTGTTAGGGTGACATCTACAAAAGCTTCATCACAAGCAAGTGCTTCCATGATCTTTTTGAAGTGATGGTTGTGCTGTAATTGTAGCAGCTCTGGATATGGAAAATAAAAAAATACATTACCTTTTTTAACCCCCTCCCTCAAAAATGTGGTGATACTATTTCAACAACTTGCATTAATTAAATGTTAAGCTAATGCTTGTAATAAAAGGTGACACAGAACAAAATGTGTATGTGTGTACATGAGAACACACTGGCACGTAGGCACATACACACACAATCTTTAACCTAGCATTTTCATTTTATCTGAACATAAAATTTTACTTGGCTCCAGCTCAAACTATTCATTTGTAAAATGACAGAAATTATAGCTATTGTAATTAGTTTTGTATTAGGTATTGTATAGTTTTCAGTGATCTAATAAAAATTGATGACTTCAAAAGTCAATAAAATGTCTTCTAGCAAAAAAACCTCAGGTTACATTTGATAAGGGACTCTTCAACTTAAGTTTTATTGATAAATTAGCTTACTTGGTTTGTAATCATCTTGAATAAATGCTGGGGTTGCCATGGGTTGTGGGGTTATCCTAGACTGCTCCAAGCCCAGACTAGTATCGACTCTCTCAGCGCCAGTATCTTCTATATTCACATCACCAGCTCCTGACTGAAATATTCCGTGCCTTATTTTAAAATCTGCAAGCCATCCTGTGCTGAACTCACAAGGTTCTTCAAGGCTGAGTTCCTTGTAAAATTCCATTGCCATCGTTATGAGGTTACGTTCACTGATAAACATGCCTTCATTCTGTTTCTTTATATACCATTCATAAAGACACTTCTCAAGCAGAGGAAGCTTAGAGTTCTTAGATGTTTTTTGGTCTAAATATCTTTTGTTGTCAACAGTCTGTGTATAGAACTCCAAAAGTGCATCCTTTTGTTTTTTTAAGTCATAAATTGTGCTAGAACTGATTCCATACTCAGCAGCCACAAGAGCAACATTTTCGCCAGCACCAATACGTCTAAGTACGGCAATTTTATCTTCAATGCTAAGGACAGTGTACTTCCTTTTCTTAGCAGGCAGTGGTGTACTAGGTCCTGTTCAGGAATACATAGCATTATTACGAACTATATTTCACAAATAATGAACAGGATTTACACAAGAAATTTATTACTACTATAGTACAAAATCTGTATTTACATAATTTAACAAAAAAGAGCTAGCCAGACTAGAGTTTTGAAGACTAAGAGGTAGAGTGTATGCCTCAGAAAGTAAAGGTCAACATTAACCCGTAAACAGTCCAAGCAGATCTATGTTCACATGTGTAGTGCTACAAAAGTAGATCTAAGTTTTTTTTACATATTTTCAAATATAACAAAAAAAAGTAGATCAAAGTTTTTTTTACACATTTTCAAATGTAGAAAAACAAAAAGAAGATCTACTTTTTTTACATACTTTCAAATGTTGAAAAAACGTATATATAAATTTGGACCGTTTACGGGTTAAACAGGCAAGAAACAGCAAGAAAAACTAAATATTTTTTCACTGGAAAAATTGTATACAATATGGTCAGATGAGAACTTTTTATTAAACAGAATCTCAGTAATTTATGAAAAAATAACATGGTACTGTATTACAGAACTGTATACTGTACCTTAAGAGACCACTTCACAATTACACTTACCAGCCGCTGAAAATGATGACATCTTATGAGGTCTTTTATCGTGTTTTGTGTAGCTCTCTTCCTGTAATATGAGTGTAACACTATTTATCATTATTATTATTCTTATTATCATTATTAATTATAATTATTTTTACATTCATGGGAGATCACTAGAGCCTTTAGCTGGTATCAGGACACCTTTGTGGGATACACATACAATATATATATCATATCCAAAATTATTATTTTACATATGTACAGAAAATATACAGACATGGTAATCATTTAAAAACTATAATGCTAAGATATACAGTACAATCATCCTATTTTGTCTACAAAATTTCCTTAAAATAAGATCATATTATCAAGCAAGGGGTGATTCAAGATTTGTGACTCATTATCTTTTGTAAGCAAATAACCTTTATTTAAAACTGTAAATCATTTGAGTGTAATTACAGTTTCCTATTAACCCATTTCTATATCACTAATGTTATGGAATATTGTGGTGAAGCACTAAAACCATAAGATAATGCCTAATGAATGGAAGGAAATCAAGCTTTGATCAAAGAACATTGAGGATAACTCCAATTTTCTATATCAAGAGCCTTCACAGGTATCAAACCATCCTCTCCTTCTTAGTAGTGTTCTACATCAATATAAATGGACATAACACCTGATCTGGTGCTTGGTTTGACTTGGAAGAATTTTACAGTACGATATAATCGTTTATTTTTTTCAAAATAGCCAGCGCTGAGGGCATGTTTATTTTAGACCCTTCAGCAATTTAAAGGTTAAACTAAGAAGTTATCAGTATATTTTACAAAAGCAAAAGGAGGCATTATAGTATATTATAATTATGGGAAAGCACTCAGTCTGTAGGGGTCGTCATGCAGCATCTGGAGAACGAAAGGTAATCGAGTTTGATCCAAGAAAAGGAATAATTATTTTTTTAAGGGAAGCACTAAACTCATATGTGCCATACAGTGCCTTGGGAATGGGAGGCAATCAGGATCTATGTAATTACTTTGATCAAAAGCCTATCACCAGCTTTTCATGGGTACACAAATAACCCGCACTTAAAAGAGAGAAGCTTATGACGATCGTTTCGGTCCGACCTGGACCATTGACAAAGTCACACTAACCAGAGGAGGAGCAGGACGGCTATATATAGGCAGGAAGAGGTGGTGGTAGTAGTAGTAGTAGTAGTAGTACAAGAGTTGTATATAATACCGACAAGATGAAATTAATTTCATCTGCGGTATTATATACAACTCTTGTATACTACACTACCAGCCACCTGTTCAGTGCCTATATATAGCGATTCTGCTCCTCCCTAGATATGTGATTGTCAATGTCCATTGTCGACCGAAACATACGTCATAAAGCACTTCATCTATTTTAATGGTTAAATTGGGTATCGTTATGCTGGGGGTTCACTGGTAATTCTCATCTTGCCGGTCATTGACACTCCTTGATCTACGCCTACAACCACTCTGCTTCCTGCCCAAACATATAGCCGCCTGCTCAACCTCTGTTAGGTGCTTTGTCTAGTCCAGCTTGAGACGCAGGGTCGTGTAATTCCCCTTAAGTGTGTTTGTGTAGCGTTCCATACACGTCTGGCCCCGCCTTTTTTATTATTTTCATGGGTCCTCGTGGATTGGTTGGTAATGTCCTTAGCTTACACACTGAGGGATCAAGGATAATCCAACCCACCCATGACATGGGAGAAATGTTGGGCATGTTTCCTTACACCTGCTGCACTTACTCCCTAGCAGTAAGTAGGTACCTGGGCATTAATCGACTGCTGTAGGTAGCACCCTGGGGAAGAGATTAATGGACTCCAATGAAAATAAGAATGACAGTCTCCAATGATTCACAAAGTTTAGCAAGTTTACTTAGGTAGAGGTACACATAAATACAACTGTCATACACAGTGTAAATTCTAGGATAACCCAACAAAAGTCAGAGCGACTTATTTCCAAAGTGGGTTATCCTAGGTAGCTAGCCCTCCGGGTTAAAAATCCAAAGAAAATCTCACTATTAACAAGGCATCCTCCTCACCATGAAGGATGACATACGGTAGAGATACTGAATATCAAAGATAAAATATACCAACAAGTATGTGAACAAGACACAATACGGATTTATGGAAATTACAGATATATTTCATCCACCAGGAACTTGACCAGGAATGAACTGATGCGATCAAGTTACGTAGTTCATTAAAAAAAAAGTTTGACATCTAAACTGTATTCACACGGAGGTACTGATGGTATGAGTGTGGCTGAGATACCAGTAAAGGTACTGCTGGTGTGGCTGAGATACCAGTAAAGGTATGGTTGTGAATACAGTAGTTATGCTGGTGTGGCTGAGATACCAGTAAAGGTACTGCTGGTGTGGCTGAGATACCAGTAAAGGTACTGCTGGTGTGGCTGAGATACCAGTAAAGTACTGCTGGTGTGGATAAAATACCAGTTAAGGTACTGCTGGTGTGAGTGAGATACAGTAAAGTACTGCTGTTGCTGAGTTACGTAACGTTGCATCCAGTGTGGTAATCCATCCAGTACTGTGGTATGGTGACGTATCACTACACTTTATTAACTGTCAGCATTTCTCCTCCATGGTTGTGCTTCAATGACACAAAACCGCTCTCCTCCAATGATATACTGTAAATACCATGTACTCTGATGACACTCCTAACAATCACTCTGTAAATAAACTTTAATAAGGTAATTTCTGCGGAGTACACACCACAAATCAGATGGGTGTTGTGTTGACGCTGTTAATAAGTCGGTTATATCACTGTGATGGTCAGTACGTTTTCTCTCATGTTTTTTAACTAGTATTATGCTGTTTCACAACCACCTTATTTTTGTAAGTTTATTTAGGTACAGGTATACATCACTACACTTGTCATACCTATGTGTAAATTACCTTGGATAAGCTTCAAAAAAGTCAAAGTGACTTATTTCCTTTGGAGTTCTGTATTTCCAGTTTTCCTCCAACTCCCACTGAAAATTTATTATATATCTTGTTCTACTTTAAGTACGTAATTTCGTGTATCTTTATCATCTCTGCCGCTCACAGGATGGGTAGGAGGGTGTATAATATATATTAAACTAATAAACTGTTCACTCACTCCACAAAACTGAAGATCATTGATCAGTTTGATGTAACAAGTCATACTTTTATAATTTTACAATTTATTCATTGGCTACCTTTCTTATTATTCATAAAACTGTAGTTAACTGCATAAGAACTCTTACTTAAGTCTGTGTCTAATTCTTAAGTAGTCTTTAATTAAGTATTAGGATTAGTTTGCCCGAAATGCATTTCATATTATTGACTTTCTGTTGTGCTGACCAATGTACCAATGTTTTATTACCTTTAGACTACATTATCTTTATATCGCATAAAAAGATATAAAAATTCGAATTTGAATTTGTTGAATCCTTGTGTTGATTGTTACGTTTTCGTTTTCTTGCTTTTTTTTTACGCTTTTTAACAAGTCAGTTTTCTTTGATGCTCTTAACAAGTCGGTTAAACTACTGTTTTGTCCTTACGTTTTCTTTGATGATCTTGGGCAATCGGTTAAATTATTGTGTTGATCTTAACATTTTCTTTGATAATTTTAATCAGTCGGCTACATTCTTTTACTGCTTCTTAAGTTTTCTTTGATGTTCTTGCTCACCCAGATCACTTCATTAATTCTCACGTTTTCTTTTAGTCTCTTGCCAGTTAGTTGGACCATCGTGCTGAGACAATGCAGGGGAAAGTAAGGAAGAAGAAAAGGTAGAAGATGCGAGGAGAGATGACAGGATATAGAGGAAAAGTGGAATGAAGGGAAGAAGAGGCAGCTCCATCACCCTCCTGAAACCACCTCCACGATCCCTCTACACCCAACCTTCCCTAAATCACAATCAGCCTCCGATAACTACCTCCACTGTCCCAGTACCACTACCAGCCCTCAACCTTCCCACTATCAATACCTTCTCATCACACTTCCTTAACCACCTCCAATAATCACCTCCATCTTCCCACTACCAGTACTCTGTCATCACCAGGACCACTCTCCAGGGACAGAAGACCCAACACAGATGGTGCTTGATGTAAGGACCATTATAAGGACACTATCAACAGGATAAGAGAGGTAAGTCCTCTTTACTTATCCTCATGATGTGAACTCACCACTTCACAACAATTTCAAAGCTGTTTCATAATTTTATGTTAATGAATTGTATTTATTTAAATGAGATTACTGTTTTACTCCCTCTGAGCCAATGATTAATTAATGTACAATTGTAATATTCTCAAATACGGTCTGTGCAGATTAAATAGCAAAATTAAGGGTTATAACTGTTAAGTACTATATTATATTATACTGTTAAGAACGAAAACCAAACATAGCATTTTAATAAACCGTAAATCAATAAACCTTGAATATTTGTTGTTAGATTCCAGGCCGCGTTACCCTGGGATATATGAAGTTACTGTTTTATTCAAACAGTAATTTTTTTACACTTACAGTATTTCTGATAGCAATTATAACATTATTGGGTATTCCTAACACATTAATTATAACATTATTGGGTATTCCTAACACATTAATTGTAACATTATTGGGTATTCCTAACACAGTAATTCTAACATTATTGGGTATTCCTAACACAGTAATTCTAACATTATTGGGTATTCCTAACACAGTAATTCTAACATTATTGGGTATTCCTAACACAGTAATTCTAACATTATTGGGTATTCCTAACACAGTAATTGTAACATTATTGGGTATTCCTAACACAGTAATTGTAACATTATTGGGTCTCAGACCGGGCCGCGGGGGCGTTGACCCCCGGAACTCTCTCCAGGTAATTCCTAACACAGTAATTCTAACATTATTGGGTATTCCTAACACAGTAATTCTAACATTATTGGGTATTCCTAACACATTAATTGTAACATTATTGGGTATTCCTAACACAGTAATTAAAAAAGTATCTTAGTTTATCATTAAATAATTAACTTGAAATAGTTTTTGTCTCATTATGCCATCGTTATTGTGAGTTTTTTTTTAGTGTGTAAAAGTCACTTTTATTATTATTAAACATATTATATTTAAAAATAATATATTATATTTTACACATGTGGATTTCTTACTATGGCTGCTACAGGTGTCTTTCATTACAGGTAAACCTGGCACACACCTGCTATTGATTAAATACCACTTGTCCATAATTTGCATTTAGTTTGAGCATCATCTATGTGTCTCCCAAACTACCAGAATTACTTGTGACTCAGGCTTGGTTACAAGTACTTCTGGCAGTTTGGGAGACACACAGATGATGATAAAACTAAATGTAAATTATGTGGTCAGGCATATGGTCACTCTCTTGAACACTATGTGCTTAATTGTCCCCTTATTGAGGAATACAGAGATAGACAGTATAATAACCTATGTGACATGTCAACATATCTTATTAATGAAAATAAGATACCAGATATACTAAGCAAATTTCCTAAATTTCCTTGTAACAGATAAGTGAACTGTAGATATGTAGATATAAATCCAAATGTACACCTGTTAACCCTACTGGGCCTAGGAACTAGGCCCCAGTAGGGTGTATATTTGGGGCCTAGTTCCTAGGAATTTTGTGTATCCATATACTCTTGCGCTACCGTCCACAGGATAGATGTGGGGTGCACAATAAACTAGCCACTTCGGTGGCAAAATCTAATCTTCGTGGTTGCAATAATATAAAATACTGCTTGTGGAGGCTAGTACACGGAACCGGGAGTAAAATGAAATTAGCTCAGAGGAACCCACACCCCTGTATGTCCTCGAATCAAGGTAAAACACCTAGCTCTGCTGGGTGCTTGATTCTTGTAGGATTTGGTGGTCCTGTGAGTTAGAGCGTCATGTGAAGCTTTCCCGAACCACCTCCAGCATCTTGGCTTTCAACCTCTCTAGTCCCTCATGTGGCTCCAGATGTTCCTAGTCTATCTCCGTGTGGTTGAAATCCCCCATGATGAGTAGCTTTGCTTTGCTTTGCTTATGTGGGCCCTTCTGGCCGCCTCGGCTAGCGTGGCCACTATCACTCTGTTACTCTCATCATATTTTTGTCTTGGTCTCCTACTGTTCGGTGGTGGGTTGTATATCACTGCTATCCTCACTTCTGGACCACCGGTTAGAAGTGTCCCTACTATGTAGTCATTCACTTCATCTCTGACTGGTCCTTCCATCTCAAAACTCCATTAGTTTTTGATGAATAGTGCAATTCTTCCTCCCCCCCCCTTTGTGTGTATCTTTATGTATATGTATATTAATGGGGAAGCCCATATATTCACTAATATACAGTATATATTTCAGTTTAGCAAAATGAAGGTGTCGAGTTCTCAGTGTGCCATGATGGTAGCCGCTGTGGTCACCAGTGTCTTCATCTTCTTCAGGTGATTAATATTGTTATAGTTAGGGAGTATTCCACGGAGAAGTGGAAAAGAATTCTTCATAAGCCATGCGTGTCATAAGTGGTGACTAAAATCCTGAGAGCAAAGGGCTAGTAACCCCTTCTCAGTTTGATCCTTATTCTCTAACTTGTGAACCAAGCTTGCTATCCAATTCGATACAGTGGCGTCGAGAGACCCACAGGGACTTAGCGTTTGTTTGTTAAGGCAATAATTATAGCGTGTCAAAATTGTTTTAAGATTAATTCATAATGGAAGAAATTGAATAAATACAACACCACTGTGATTGATAAATCCCCATTGAGGGTTATGAAATCCCAGTATGAGTGGTAAAGTTCCACTGGGTAATTCAACCCACTGTGGATAATTCAACCCACTGTGGATAATTCAACCCACTGTGGATAATTCAATCCACTGTGGGTAATTCAACCCACTGTGGGTGACTAAACCTACTGTGGGTGAACCGTCGCAAATTTAAGGATTTCATTTTTACTTAAAATGTGTTTGTATGAAGAAAAGCTTAAGTACTGGCTACTGAGGAAAGTCTCTTACAGTTATGGGTACAGCAGAGGCTGGCTGATGCAGCGCTGTTCAAGTAATGGTGATCATTTTAGTGATCCTCATCCAGCTGATGCTCATAATCCTCCTGGCGCACCTAATCTTCCTGGTGCTGAGCGTCATGGTGCCTTCTACAACAACTCTGAAATAGCCACGGACGAAGAAGATTGGAGTAAGTATTATTATTATATTAATGGGAAAACGCTAAATCTATAAGGGGTCAAATAGCGTTTTGGAAATGGCATGTCAACTAGAGTTGAACGCAAAAAATGGAAGGGGAGCTCCGATTCCTTGGATAATTAGTCCTTCACCAGCATCAAAGCAACACTCGCCATATAATGTCTACGGACTACAGGCAAACTGGTTTGTAGGGCTACTGACAGCTTACATCCTATCGAGCTCTTTGAGGCCGGGCCGTATGATCAATCTTTAAGGGCTCCATACGACGTAAGCTGCCAGTGACCCTATAACCCGAGCAAGAAGTCCAGCCTCAAACATCTGAATTGGTTGGTTAATTGAATTTAAGGCTTATTGACTATACTAAGAGTTTCTGAGACCGTATGTTACCAGTTCACCACCAGTTAATTATACTTTTATCCCTGTTTTAGGGATACATTGAGAGATATATACCTCGGTGTGTGTAACCATAAGCAGCTGACACCTAAGGGTTCCTCTGAGCCTTAATTTTTAAGGCCGAAGTATTTTTCCAAGCTAAAACAGATAAAACCAGAATATTCATCTAAGATAAACTCTCTGTGACCTAAACGTTTCTCCGAATTAATCTGTTTTAGAGGAACATGGACACAAATTCATACACTTATTTTATTTTATTTATTTTATTAATTTGAACATGATACAGAGAAGTACAAAGGAATACAGTTATTAAAGTGTAACATGCCAAAGCCCCTTGTATGCAGAGCATTATGGGCAGGCTTAAAATTAACTTAAGATTAACTAAGCAATGATATATTCAGTAGTGAAAACATTACACAAATAACCCGCACATGTTATTTATGTAAAAGGATTATTGTAAACAGATAACAATTTAGCACAAATGAGCATTAGAAAGACAGGTCATATGGTCATTTACTGTGTTGTTGAGCATTTGGTAGAATGGAGTATTCTGTTCGGTAATGTAATTAAAAAATAACAAAGTTTGATTGGGTCACAGGTTAGACATTTTTGAGATACAATAATGAGAAACATTTATGAGATACAATTATTCAGTATTTATTTAGTTGTGGGTGAGTAAGTGATTTTTGAGAAGAGACTTGAATTTATACACTCAGACCCTTTAATGAAAGAGTCCCAGGACCGAAACGATTTCAGTAAAGATGTCCCATGTGCTTTCATTCGAGCTGAAATATTCATCCAGCTTAAAACTTTTAGGTCAGGGTGATCCAATTACGGGCCCCTGGACCACAAGTGGCTCATGGATTTTTTTTGTGGCCCACGAGCACTCATATATATTAAAATTTCTTCCATACAAAAAAACATTAAAGTATCTGGGACACTTGTGGCCCACGGGCCCGTAGTTGGACCACCCTGATTAGGTCATAAATATTCCTTTAAGTTAAAGAATCTTGGTCTGAAACATCCCATCAAGCCAACATAATCTGCGGAAAAATCTTGATGTTAATTATCTTTGGCCTATATATACATTTCACAGGCTCAATATTTAAGGTTAAACCATCTATAGGCCAAAATTTTCGAGAAAATATATATATACATCTTTTTTATTTTACAAGATAAACTTGAAAATGAGCACATGTTCTGTGTTTAGGTACGAAAAGATGTCCTCTGAAGCCGCTCAAGAATGTGGACGAACTCTTCAAGTATATTACCTCCTGCACACTCGCCTGCCAGAAGCCAGTGAGTTAAAAATAATAAATAAAATAAAATATTTGCCATGAAGATACATAGGTTGACAGATATTGCTTTACAATATCTGTCAACCTAGTTATGCACTACATTTCGATCCCAGTATCTAGTAGTATAGCAAAGTATTGTCGAATTTAGACATGTCCTAGTGTTCAGGTGATGGTGGGAGGCAGTGTGCACCCTGACAATGGCTACTTCCTCGGGGAGAAGTGGGTGTGTATGAGCCATAAGTTCAACATCAAGTATGGCAAGTGTCTCGCCTATTCCTTCGGTATTTCCCGAGACTTCACCTTCGATGACGACATGGACAAGAGGTTCAACTGTAAGGTAGGTATAATGTTTGTCAGGAAACAGGATAAGTGTTTCCTCACTCGGGTCTTAGTCATATGATGACCTACAGCTTGAGATTTTGGTCATCTGACCGAGACCTTTTCCTGGCTTATCCCTCTACCTCTTTAAAAGTTATAGTTATGATTATAACCATTAGGATTTAAGGGAATATAGGCCTAAATTTAACTCATATTTAGTTTCAATAACCAGTTATAAGATGATAGAGAAAAAGGCTTCAGGAGTTACGTAAACACTTGTCAGTGGGATTTATAGTTTTTTAAGATGATAAATAATTGGGGAAAGTTATAAGTTGGATGGTAAACCCGGATTATCTTGTGGATTATATTGAAATTTAGACTAATGAACCTGAGACCTTGTTAAATTTGGAAACACAAACATATAGTTAAGCAACGTTGGACTGAAGGCCCCCATCTCAGTGGACTACCGCTCAAGGGAGGTTCCTTGATGCTGGTGAGGGGCTCTTGATCTAGGGAATTGGATCTGTGCTCCAGTTCCTTGAATTAAGCCTGAATACCTTCCATCCCCCCCACTGGCGCTGTATAATCTTATGGGTTTAACGCTTCCCCATGATTATATAAATTCAGTGGACTTATTGATGTAATTTCTTCAGTATATTACAGTAAGAGTGATGCAGCATCCACTCGTGCCTGTCTCTCCTACCCTCACACTGGTGCCTGTCTCTCCTACCCTCACACTGGTGCCTGTCTCTCCTACCCTCACACTGGTGCCTGTCTCTCCTACCCTCACACTGGTGCCTGTCTCTCCTACCCTCACACTGGTGCCTGTCTCTCCTACCCTCACACTGGTGCCTGTCTCTCCTACCCTCACACTGGTGCCTGTCTCTCCTACCCTCACACTGGTGCCTGTCTCTCCTACCCTCACACTGGTGCCTGTCTCTCCTACCCTCACAATGGTGCCTGTCTCTCCTACCCTCACACTGGTGCCTGTCTCTCCTACCCTCACACTGGTGCCTGTCTCTCCTACCCTCACACTGGTGCCTGTCTCTCCTACCCTCACACTGGTGCCTGTCTCTCCTACCCTCACACTGGTGCCTGTCTCTCCTACCCTCACACTGGTGCCTGTCTCTCCTACCCTCACACTGGTGCCTGTCTCTCCTACCCTCACACTGGTGCCTGTCTCTCCTACCCTCACACTGGTGCCTGTCTCTCCTACCCTCACACTGGTGCCTGTCTCTCCTACCCTCACACTGGTGCCTGTCTCTCCTACCCTCACACTGGTGCCTGTCTCTCCTACCCTCACACTGGTGCCTGTCTCTCCTACCCTCACACTGGTGCCTGTCTCTCCTACCCTCACACTGGTGCCTGTCTCTCCTACCCTCACACTGGTGCCTGTCTCTCCTACCCTCACACTGGTGCCTGTCTCTCCTACCCTCACACTGGTGCCTGTCTCTCCTACCCTCACACTGGTGCCTGTCTCTTTTACCCTCACACTGGTGCCTATCTCTCCTACCCTCACACTGGTGCCTGTCTCTCCTACCCTCACACTGGTGCCTGTCTCTCCTCTACCCTCACACTGGTGCCTGTCTCTCCTACCCTCACACTGGTGCCTGTCTCTCCTACCCTCACACTGGTGCCTGTCTCTCCTACCCTCACACTGGTGCCTGTCTCTCCTACCCTCACACTGGTGCCTGTCTCTCCTACCCTCACATTGGTGCCTGTCTCTCCTACCCTCACACTGGTGCCTGTCTCTCCTACCCTCACACTGGTGCCTGTCTCTCCTACTCTCACACTGGTGCCTGTCTCTCCTACCCTCACACTGGTGTCTGTCTCTCCTACCCTCACACTGGTGCCTGTCTCTCCTACCCTCACACTGGTGCCTGTCTCTCCTACCCTCACACTGGTGCCTGTCTCTCCTACCCTCACACTGGTGCCTGTCTCTCCTACCCTCACATTGGTGCCTGTCTCTCCTACCCTCACACTGGTGCCTGTCTCTCCTACCCTCACACTGATGCCTGTCTCTCCTACCCTCACACTGGTGCCTGTCTCTCCTACCCTCACACTGGTGCCTGTCTCTCCTACCCTCACACTGGTGCCTGTCTCTCCTACCCTCACACTGGTGCCTGTCTCTCCTACCCTCACACTGGTGCCTGTCTCTCCTACCCTCACACTGGTGCCTGTCTCTCCTACCCTCACACTGATGCCTGTCTCTCCTACTCTCACACTGGTGCCTGTCTCTCCTACCCTCACACTGATGCCTGTCTCTCCTACCCTCACACTGGTGCCTGTCTCTCCTACCCTCACACTGGTGCCTGTCTCTCCTACCCTCACACTGGTGCCTGTCTCTCCTACCCTCACACTGGTGCCTGTCTCTCCTACCCTCACACTCGTGCCTATCTCTCCTACCCTCACACTGATGCCTGTCTCTCCTACCCTCACACTGGTGCCTATCTCTCCTACCCTCACACTGGTGCCTGTCTCTCCTACCCTCACACAGGTGACAGCCTTTGACCACACCATCAACCTCGAGACTCACAATCGTTCAGAAAACATCCAGTTTTTCAACCTGGGCATCTCTAACATCACTCACACACACAATAACATCATCAGGGTAAGTTTAATTATTTAATTGTTCAATGATCAACGATGTGATTTCTACCCGCTTGAATTATTATTATTATTGTTATTATTATTATTATTATTATTATTATTATTATTATTATTATTATTATTATTATTATTATTATTGTGTGTGTGCCTCCACAATAATACATTCACTATACAACTGGAAGTTATATCATTAACAACAAATAGTGAAACAGGAAATAATGGAGAACTTAGGGTATTTTATAAGAGACGTTTCGCCCACTGGAAGCTTTGTTAATCTGACTGGATAAATAAAAATCCTGGTAAGCAAATCTATAAATAAAGTGGTATATAATATACGTCTCTGTATCTCACGTTCCATTTACTGCTATGGTTATTATTATATATTTTTTTTAAATTCACGTAACTTCAAGTGGTATATCGATGAAGACGAAGTCAGTAATAATTAACTGCCCCTCTCACGTTGAAAATTTGAAGCCGATTGGATGAGGCATTCTTGAGTTATGAGCGAAATAAAATGGAAAAGTTGGAGGAAGAAAAATTATTATTATTAAAGATTCGCGGGTATTCTCCCGGCCCGGGCCTTGTCCAAGTGGTGGCCCGGGCCTTGTCCAAGTGGTGGCCCGGCCTTGTCCAAGTGGTGGCCCGGGCCTTGTCCAAGTGGTGGCCCGGGCCTTGTCCAAGTGGTGGCCCGGGCCTTGTCCAAGTGGTGGCCCGGCCTTGTCCAAGTGGTGGCCCGGGCCTTGTCCAAGTGGTTGGCCCGGGCCTTGTCCAAGTGGTGGCCCGGGCCTTGTCCAAGTGGTGGCCCGGGCCTTGTCCAAGTGGTGGCCCGGGCCTTGTCCAAGTGGTGGCCCGGGCCTTGTCCAAGTGGTGGCCCGGCCTTGGCTCCCTGTCTTGGGAGTGTCTGAGACCTAAGTCTCCCATGGGAGGAGGCACAAGTACCTCATCTTTGGGACCAACTGTCCCCAGGCCTAGCCACAAGCTAGGCCTCTCTGGTCTGCCATCCCCGCCCCAAGAGGGCTAATAGGAATAGCAGTCTTGTGAGCTGCAAGCTCGGGCTCAGGCACCTACCCTACCCTAGAAGGGCTGGGCATGGTGTCGATCGAGAAAAAAAAAAAAAGGCAACCTGTTAGGGTCCCTCTTCGGGAATCATTAATAACTCTCCTATTTATCTATATTAATTAACTATATAGTTCACATCTTTATGCTGAAATATATTGTAGTATCAAGCCTAATTTTCACTGATAACATTTAGAACAATGAAAACAAAATTTTGCAACGTATAGAGAATAATTCGACACACCTAGTGATGAATATTGATAATATAATAAATAATAAAATCCCGTATGTGAATTTTGGGAGAGTGAGTCAGGGGTAACTTGTGAAGATGTGACGCAACTCTGAGAACTCGTATTTTCTTCAGTTGGATCGCTATGTGAACATTCTGAAGATAATGGGTCATGAGGCGACAGTCATCGACTACCTGAAGGCGGACGTGGAAGGCTCAGAGATCCCCATGTTGACAGACATCATTAACAACACCCCAAATCTACTTAAGAATGTCAAGCAGATCGGTGTAGAGGTGCATCTGGAAAGTGAGTCTAATATACACACACACTCTGGGTTACTGTAATATCTTATTGTGTACCCAATTACCATCCTGTGGGCGGTGGCAACCCCATAACCATCCTGTGGGTGGTAGCCACCCCATAACCATCCTGTGGGCGGTAGCCACCCCATAACCATCCTGTGGGCGGTAGCCACCCCATAACCATCCTGTGGGCGGTAGCCACCCCATAACCATCCTGTGGGCGGTAGCCACCCCATAACCATCCTGTGGGTGGTAGCCACCCCATAGCCATCCTGTGGGCGGTAGCCACCCCATAACCATCCTGTGGGCTGAAGTCAACCCATAACAGAGGCACATCAAATGGGTCCAGGGACTGGGCCCCAAAATTTTGATATCAATAAACATAGACCTGATTCAGTAGGAATTTGGTTGGTTAATGGATTTTAAAACCCCATTAACCATTAATTTTGTATGTCACCTGTTTACCACCAGTGAAAAATATATTAATTTCAAAAATGAGAATTAAAGTACTCTCAGAATGTATAATATACACTGATAAACATATACTTCTGTGTGTATGTCCTGTGTAAGAATTTACTCGAAGGAAAAAGTTTTGTAGGTTACAAACTACAAAAAAACTTTCATTATATTTTTATTTAACATTATCAACTTTTTATTCTTTTATTCCGTTATTATTCTTAAAAAGAGTAAGACCTCCTGAGTAGGTGGTGGCCTATATTTTCACCCAGCTTGAGAAAATATTATTAACCATGAAGTTAACATGGCTAAGATTCCCTTTATCTGCAGGAAAGCTGTACGGAGAGTACTGGAAGATTTTCCAGCAGCTGGAATGTTATGGGTTCCAGTTGTGGTTCAGTGAGATGAATCCTGTTAGAAAATTGTTCTTCAAGGTGAAGGGCAAAATCCGTTCCTGCTGTTACGAGATGGTCTGGGCCCGTGACCGCCAGTGGTAGACCACAACAGTGCCTTCTGATACTACGGGATGGTCTGGGCCCGTGACCACCAGTGGTAGACCACAACAGTGCCTTCTGATACTACGGGATGGTCTGGGCCCGTGACCGCCAGTGGTAGACCACAACAGTGCCTTCTGATACTACGGGATGGTCTGGGCCCGTGACCGCCAGTGGTAGACCACAACAGTGCCTTCTGATACTACGGGATGGTCTGGGACCGTGACCACCAGTGGTGAACCACAACAGTGCCTTCTGATACTACGAGATGGTCTGGGACTGTGACCACCAGTGGTGAACCACAACAGTGCCTTCTGATACTACGAGATGGTCTGGGACTGTGACCACCAGTGGTGAACCACAACAGTGCCTTCTGATACTACGAGATGGTCTGGGACCGTGACCACCAGTGGTGAACCACAACAGTGCCTCGTGAAAAATCACATTCACCATCACTTTCTTTTCAGCTACATTCTCAGAGGATACAAAGACCACTACCACTAATGACCTACAGAACTTCATGCGACATTTTCACCCAGTGTTATATGCTAGTATACTGTAACCTACTGCGGCATACCTTTAGTTAGTTTAATATGTTTATTATGCACCTCATACCCATCCTGTGGGCGGTAGTCAAAAGATTACAGAGGTACATAATTGGTCCAGGGACTGGGCCTCAAAGTTTTGATAGCTGAGCAAGTTACAGAGGTAATGAATTCACAATTTACAAAGGTAATGAACTCACAATTTACAAAGGTAATGAACTCCAGGTAGGTCTAGTCACAATCATGACAAGTTACAAAGGTATTTACAGATTACAGAGGTACACAATGGGTCCAGGGACCGGGCTCCAAAGTTTTATACTACTCACAGACACACTTTTGAGGTCAATGTTACCAAGAGTAAACTTTTCCAAGGCAGGAAGTGGTGTGTCAGTAATTAGTTGTTATTGAATAAGCTTTGTTTAAATGGCTTCTTCTTAGATACTGTTTAACGTAAATTACCCATGTTGCAATATAATAACTTTAGCCATTTCTACTCGTGTACATTTGTTTTTTTAAGAATCCATTGCTAGGTAGGCTAGGAAGAGTAACATCACTTTTCATAGAATTTACTGAAACTCACGTGCAGTAACTTTTATTTACTTATGTCATAAATTTTAATTAAAACTTAATTTTGACTGTCACTGATCTTTTTGTATTACTGTTATTTGTATTATTTGAGATCCTTACTAGATTATATATAAACCTTAACCATACTTCAGGTTTGTCCTCACCATACTTCAGGTATGTCCTTACCATACTTCAGGTATGTCCTCACCATACTTCAGGTATGTCCTCACCATACTTCAGGTATGTCCTTACCATACTTCAGGTATGTCCGCACCATACTTCAGGTATGTCCTTACCATACTTCAGGTATGTCCTTACCATACTTCAGGTATGTCCTCACCATACTTCAGGTATGTCCTCACCATACTTCAGGTATGTCCTTACCATACTTCAGGTATGTCCGCACCATACTTCAGGTATGTCCTCACCATACTTCAGGTATGTCCTTACCATACTTCAGGTATGTCCTCACCATACTTCAGGTATGTCCTCACCATACTTCAGGTATGTCCTTACCATACTTCAGGTATGTCCTCACCATACTTCAGGTATGTCCTTACCATACTTCAGGTATGTCCTCACCATACTTCAGGTATGTCCTTACCATACTTCAGGTATGTCCTCACCATACTTCAGGTTTGTCCTCACCATACTTCAGGTTTGTCCTCACCATACTTCAGGTATGTCCTCACCATATTTCAGGTTTGTCCTCACCATACTTCAGGTATGTCCTCACCATACTTCAGGTATGTCCTTACCATACTTCAGGTATGTCCTCACCATACTTCAGGTATGTCCTCACCATACTTCAGGTATGTCCTCACCATACTTCAGGTATGTCCTCACCATACTTCAGGTATGTCCGCACCATACTTCAGGTATGTCCTCACCATACTTCAGGTATGTCCTCACCATACTTCAGGTTTGTCCTCACCATACTTCAGGTTTGTCCTCACCATACTTCAGGTAAAGTCCTCACCATACTTCAGGTATGTCCTTACCATACTTCAGGTATGTCCTCACCATACTTCAGGTATGTCCTCACCATACTTCAGGTATGTCCTCACCATACTTCAGGTATGTCCTCACCATACTTCAGGTATGTCCTTACCATACTTCAGGTATGTCCGCACCATACTTCAGGTATGTCCTCACCATACTTCAGGTATGTCCTCACCATACTTCAGGTATGTCCTTACCATACTTCAGGTATGTCCTCACCATACTTCAGGTATGTCCTTACCATACTTCAGGTATGTCATCACCATACTTCAGGTATGTCCTTACCATACTTCAGGTATGTCCTCACCATACTTCAGGTATGTCCTCACCATACTTCAGGTATGTCCTCACCATACTTCAGGTATGTCCTTACCATACTTCAGGTATGTCCTCACCATACTTCAGGTATGTCCTCACCATACTTCAGGTATGTCCTCACCATACTTCAGGTATGTCCTCACCATACTTCAGGTATGTCCTTACCATACTTCAGGTATGTCCGCACCATACTTCAGTATGTCCTCACCATACTTCAGGTATGTCCTCACCATACTTCAGGTATGTCCTCACCATACTTCAGGTTTGTCCTCACCATACTTCAGGTATGTTGTCACCATACTTCAGGTATGTCCTCACCATACTTCAGGTATGTCCTCACCATACTTCAGGTATGTCCTCACCATACTTCAGGTATGTCCTCACCATACTTCAGGTTTGTCCTCACCATACTTCAGGTATGTCCTCACCATACTTCAGGTTTGTCCTCACCATACTTCAGGTATGTCCTCACCATACTTCAGGTATGTCCTCACCATACTTCAGGTTTGTCCTCACCATACTTCAGGTATGTCTTCACCATACTTCAGGTTTGTCCTCACCATACTTCAGGTATGTTGTCACCATACTTCAGGTATGTCCTCACCATACTTCAGGTATGTCCTCACCATACTTCAGGTATGTCCTCACCATACTTCAGGTATGTCCTCACCATACTTCAGGTTTGTCCTCACCATACTTCAGGTATGTCCTCACCATAAATTCAGGTTTGTCCTCACCATACTTCAGTTTGTCCTCACCATACTTCAGGTATGTCCTCACCATACTTCAGGTATGTCCTCAACCATACTTCAGGTATGTCCTCACCATACTTCAGGTTTGTCCTCACCATACTTCAGGTTTGTCCTCACCATACTTCAGGTATGTCCTCACCATACTTCAGGTTTGTCCTCACCATACTTCAGGTTTGTCCTCACCATACTTCAGGTATGTCCTCACCATACTTCAGGTTTGTCCTCACCATACTTCAGGTATGTCCGCACCATACTTCAGGTTTGTCCTCACCATACTTCAGGTTTGTCCTCACCATACTTCAGGTATGTCCTCACCATACTTCAGGTATGTCCTCACCATACTTCAGGTATGTCCTCACCATACTTCAGGTATGTCCTCACCATACTTCAGGTATGTCCTTACCATACTTCAGGTATGTCCTCACCATACTTCAGGTATGTCCTCACCATACTTCAGGTATGTCCTCACCAAAACTTCAGGTATGTCCTCACCATACTTCAGGTATGTCCTCACCATACTTCAGGTATGTCCTCAAACCATACTTCAGGTATGTCCTCACCATACTTCAGGTTGTCCTTACCATACTTCAGGTATGTCCTCACCATACTTCAGTATGTCCTCACCATACTTCAGGTATGTCCTCACCATACTTCAGGTATGTCCTTACCATACTTCAGGTATGTCCTCACCATACTTCAGGTATGTCCTCACCATACTTCAGGTATGTCCTCACCATACTTCAGGTATGTCCTTACCATACTTCAGGTATGTCCTCACCATACTTCAGGTATGTCCTCACCATACTTCAGGTATGTCCTCACCATACTTCAGGTATGTCCTCACCAACTCAGGTATGTCCTTACCATACTTCAGGTATGTCCGCACCATACTTCAGGTATGTCCTCACCATACTTCAGGTATGTCCTCACCATACTTCAGGTATGTTCTCACCATACTTCAGGTTTGTCCTCACCATACTTCAGGTATGTTGTCACCATACTTCAGGTATGTCCTCACCATACTTCAGGTATGTCCTCACCATACTTCAGGTATGTCCTCACCATACTTCAGGTATGTCCTCACCATACTTCAGGTTTGTCCTCACCATACTTTAGGTATGTCCTTACCATACTTCAGGTATGTCCGCACCATACTTTAGGTATGTCCTTACCATACTTCAGGTATGTCCTCACCATACTTCAGGTATGTCCTTACCATACTTCAGGTATGTCCTTACCATACTTCAGGTATGTCCTTACCATACTTCAGGTATGTCCGCACCATACTTTAGGTATGTCCTTACCATACTTCAGGTATGTCCTTACCATACTTCAGGTATGTCCGCACCATACTTTAGGTATGTCCTTACCATACTTCAGTATGTCCGCACCATACTTTAAGGTATGTCCTTACCATACTTCAGGTATGTCCGCACCATACTTTAGGTATGTCCTTACCATACTTCAGGTATGTCCTCACCATACTTCAGGTATGTCCTTACCATACTTCAGGTATGTCCTTACCATACTTCAGGTATGTCCTTACCATACTTCAGGTATGTCCTCACCATACTTCAGTATGTCCTTACCATACTCAGGTATGTCCTTACCATACTTCAGGTATTCCTTACCATACTTCAGGTATGTCCTTACCATACTTCAGGTATGTCCTTACCATACTTCAGGTATGTCCTTACCATACTTCAGGTATGTCCGCACCATACTTCAGGTATGTCCTTACCATACTTCAGGTATGTCCTTACCATACTTCAGGTATGTCCTTACCATACTTCAGGTATGTCCGCACCATACTTTAGGTATGTACTTACCATACTTCAGGTATGTCCTTACCATACTTCAGGTATGTCCTTACCATACTTCAGG